TATTATCGAAAAAATTTGGGGATGGGGGTTAAAAGGAGGGGTACCCAAAAACTTGATCCGAGGAATTGGAGAATTTCGAAAAACTTGATCCGAGGAGATGGAGACTTTCGAAACCCCCATAGGGTGGAATCCAAAAACTTGGTAATATCGAGAAATTTTGGGGTGGGGGTGAAAGTGAGAGGGGGAACCTCAAAAATTTGATCCAAGGAATTGGAGAAATTCAAAACCCTTGATCCAAGGAGATGGAGACTTTTCGAAACCCCCCATAGGGGGAATCCAAAAAATTTGATCTGAGGAGATGGAGAGCACAAGAAAATGAAATTCAAAAAAAATTCGACAAAAATCGGAAAAAAATTCGAGGCGCGGGGGCGATCCGGACGACGCTGCAGAAGGCGCAGCAGAAGGCGCGAAGGGGCGCGGGCGGGCGCGCGGGGTGGGGCGGGGCGCGCGGGGCGGCGGGGCGGGGCGCGCGGGTGCGCGGGCGCGCGGCGCGACGGCGGGGTCGCAAGGCGGGGGGTCGTGGGGGTGGGGGTATTGGTTGGGGGGTCAAGGGTGAGGTAGTCTCGAGGGCGAGGTCATGGTCAAAACCGGAAGTAACACCTAGGTGTGAAAAGGTGACCCTCCAGCTGCTGGTCCTAGACCGGAAGGGATGCCCCAGAGGTGGCCTAAACCGGAAGGGATGCCCCAGTGAAAGGCCCTAAACCGGAAGGGATGCTCCAGAAGAAAACTTCACTACTTATATGCTTAATAATTCGCAAACAGGCGAAATTATTTACAAACATTGTCTCTACGTCCACATCTATCTAGACCCTAGATAAGTATGGGCGCCTTTCTGGAGTTATACTACGTTTCCCAATACCCAGGGAAACCAGGCTTGTTTTCAAAGTTATTTCATTAAACCCTGCCACATGCAGTGGATGTAGAGATAATGTTTGTATGTAATTTCGCCTGTTTGCGAATTATTAAGCATTTCAAATATCTTTCGTTGTCCACTGAGTTTCACAGGACTTAAGTCCGGCCTGCCGGTTTCCCTGAATTCCTTCATAAATGTTACCTTTGCTCACACTCCAACAGCACATCAAGTCCTAAAAGCCATATGTCTCCATACGCCCCTATCTAAGATGCTCATGCATGCTTGCTGGAAGTCCAAGCCCCTCGCCCATAAAACCTCCTTTACCCCCTCCCTCCAACCTTTCCTAGGCCGACTCTTACCCTGCCTTCCCTCCAATACAGATTTATACTCTCGAAGTCATTCTATTTTGTTCGATTCTCTCTACATGTTCAAACCACCTTAACAACCCCTCCTCAGCCCTCTAGACAATAGTTTTGGCAATCCCACACCTCCTCCCAATTTCTAAACTATGAATTCTGTGCATTATATTCACACCACACATTGATCTCAAACATGACATCTCCACTGTTTCCAGCCTTGTTGTAACATTCACAACCCATGCTTCACACCCATACAAGAGCGTTGGTATAACTATACTCTCATACATTCCCCTCTTTGTTTCAATGGACAAAGTTCTTTGTTTCCACAGACTTCGAAGTGCACCACTCACCTTTTTTCTTCATTAATTGCATGATTCTCTTCATCTTTCATAGACCCATCTGCTGACACATCCACTCCTAAATATCTAAATACATTCACCTTCTCCATACTCTCTCCCTCCAATCTGATATCCAATCTTTTGCCACCTATTTCCTTTTGTTATCCTCATACCTTACTTCTTATATTTACTTTGAATTTTTTTCTTCTACACACCCTACCAAACTCATCTACCAACTTCTGCAACTTCTCTTCAGAATCTCCCAAAAGCACAGTGTCATCAGCAAAGAGCAACTGTGACAACTCCCACTTTATGTGTGATTCTTTATCTTTTAACTCCACATCTCTTGCCAAGACCCTCGCATTTACTTCACTTACAACCCCATCTATAAATATACTGAACAACCAATGTGACATCACACATCCTTGTCTAAGGCCTACGTTTACTGGGAAATAATCTCCCTCTCCCTTACATACTCTAACCTGAGCCTCACTATCCTCGTAAAAACTCTTCACTGCTTTCAGTAACCTACCTCGTATTCAATATATTTGCAACATCTGTCGCATTTCCCCCCTATCCACCCTGTCATACGCCTTTTCAAAATCCATAAATGCCACAACAACCTCTTTACCCTTATCTAAATACTGTTCACCTATATGTTTCATTGTAAATGCTTGGTCTTCACACCCCCTATCGTAACCTAAAGCTTCCTTGTTCATCGATATATATATATAAATATATATATATATATATATATATATATATATATATATATATATATATATATATATATATTAGAGAGAGAGAGAGAGAGAGAGAGAGAGAGCAGGATGGGAAGAGAAAAAAGAGATGTCATATGTATTTAAATCACGACACTACATTTGTAAGTTCAGGGTGCACTGATAAATGCTTTCAGATTTGTAATGATTATTATACTCTAATAAGCTGTGCGTGTGCATTGTCACATGGATGTAATGAAATATGTAAAACGTGTCATTCATCGTGAAATATATACACACAAATATGACTGTGACTCTTGACATATAGAGGAAAGACATTAAGAGTCACTGTCAACAATTTATAAAAAACTCTTATATGTAGCACTAATTACAGTGATTTTCCAACAGGCGGTAGAGGATAAACTCATTAATGAGAAACGTCTATTTACAACTGACCCAGTGGATTCTTGTCTGAAGAAAGGTATTCCCCACATATTAAAAAAGATTCAAGGAAAAACACCGTGGCGAGCCAAGTTTTATTATACAGAAGAGAACTTCACTCTGCCGCAGCTACTTGTGAGAGCGTGTGCAGTAGGTGCCACCATGACTGCATGGTTTGTGTTGCAGGCAGGCGGCAGCACCAACACTAAGGACAGTAGCGGCACCACAGCCCTTCATGCCGCCGTGCAAGCAGGAAAATTCGACACTGCACGTGCGCTTGTCAACGACATGAAAGCAAACCTTTTTCTGGCTGATGATGCAGGTCGACGGCCCATCGACATCCTCCCACCGCTGGAAAGACAACTTCTAATGCAGGTAAGCCGGCCCACAGGTAAGCCGGCCCACAGGTAAGCCGGCCCACTTCTCACCTAGACTTACTTTTACCTGATCTTATTATTTACTTACTTTTTATTATATCACTATTATGCTGTCATCTATAAATTAGTATTACTTAAAATAACGTGGATATAAAGACTTGCAACAGGTTTTGTAATACGCATTAAAGAAAGAAAAATGGCAAGAAGGAGAGGTTAAAATAGAAGAGGAACTAGATTCGTGCCTGTTGCTGCTCTATCCGAGAACGGTATCCCCGAATTCTATAACCCAGTTCCTCTGCCTGACTGCACGGAATGATGAGAATAGTGCAGAATGTGGCATGAGTTGATATTGAATTTAAATATTGGCGTTGAAGATTTCAGTGGAATCAGATGAGACATTTACGAGTCAAGTGGAAACTAATATACAATTTCTTCGATTAATATAATAAATTAGAACATACGCAGTCCAAATCTAATTCAAATCTTTCAGAGAAAAGAGTCCAATATCCTAAAATTCACAAGTATATTTAGCTTGAAGCCGCTCAGAAACTGCATTATCAAGTTATCAACGCAGATGAGTGGAAACTAATCAGACGCAACACTCAGAAATTATCTCAGAAAGCAGTATGTAATTTTTTTCTAGTTTAAAACAAGAAAGCAAATTGGGACCTATATAGGCCAAGCTTAATCCAAGCTTTCTTCTCCGTAAGTAAATAAGTTTTACGTAAGCTTTGTGTACATAATATACAAACTTTCTAGTTTAAAGCTGTAACAACTCCTGCCACTGCGCTGGCCAATACCTCACACTAACCCTAGATAAGTGAATCCCATCCCTGGCATACATTTAATTTCTGCCATAGAAGAGGTCCTATTGTTATGCAATGTCCTTACAGTGTTCAGTCAGCAACTATTCATTTCCAACTCCTATTCTCATCAAAATGCCACATATTACAGAGCTCCCTCCCTTCTTCCTAAATATGTCTATAACTGTCCTATTTCTGCTAATCACGTCCTCACTATTACGTCTGCTAACACTGTTGCCTCCAGAAATGGAACAGTTAATAGGATTGCTCCAATGGCATTTTATGATGTTGTCTAGACGGCATCAAAACCCAAAGAAAACAGACCCTTTGCCTCCTCTTTCTACCTCTCTGACAAAACGCCCTATCCATAAACTCTGCCTGTCTCCAACTAAAATGTTCTTACTTTTGGTATAACAGAGACCTAGTTCAACCTGAAAGATAGAGAAATGCCTTCTAAATGCAACATACACACTGATAGGGCCAACAGGAAGGGTGGTAGGGTGGCGATGTATGTCAGAGAAAATTTAAATTGTTGTCTTAGACATGATATAAGATTAGAAACATCGAACACAGAATCTGTTTGGCTACAGTTTCTCGAGGGACGTGACAAATTAATTTTGATAGGGAGTGCAGTAAGCTGTTATGGGACGAAATTCGTAAGGCATCTAGATATGAAAATGTTGTGATAATGGGAGATTTTAACTTTAGACAAATTGATTGGAACAATATGACAGGAAACCTTGAGTCTAGTGACATTCTTGATGCGGTTCAGGATTGCTTTTTAGAACAGGTTGTGACAGAACCAACTAGAGGAAACAATCTGCTTGACTTGGTTCTTGCCAACAAAGATTCACTAATTAATAATCTTGAGGTTAATGATAAGCTTGGGGAAAGTGATCACAAATCACTTAGTTTCAATATATCATGGAATTACCCAGATAACTGCAATCAAATCTCTGTCCCAGATTTTCGCTTGGCCGACTTCATGGGACAGAAAAATTACCTGGGTGGGCTAAATTGGGATGTCCTGACTATGGGTCAGGTAGGTAATCTTGGTTGCCAATATGACGTTTTTCAGAGTATAGTTCTAGCTGCCCAGACAACTTTTGTTCCGAGTAGGGAAATTAGATCTAACAAAAATGATCCCAAATGGATGAACAATAGATTAAAACATCTCATTGGTCAAACGAGAGGCATATATAGGCTTATCAAAAGAGGGGATGGGCAGTTAAGAAATCAATATATTCAGTTAAAGAGATAAATAAAGAAAGGAATAAGAAAAGCAAAAAGGGATTATGAGGCTAAGGTCGCAAGGGATTCAAAGACTAACCCAAAAAGGGTTCTTTCAGGTATACAGAAGTAAGATTAGGGACAAGATTGGCCCACTTAAGAGTAACTCTGGTCAGATCACTGACAGTGATAAGGATATGTGTGAAATTCTCAATACCCTACTTCCTCTCAGTTTTTACCCAGGAAAATACTAGCGATATTCCTGAAATAATAATTATGTAGAACAGGATGATAATAAACTATGCACGATTGCGGTAACTTGTGACATGGTCCTCAGACAAATAGAGAAACTAAAACCTAACAAATCCCCAGGTCCTGATAAACTGTTTGCAAGGGTGTTAAAGGAATGTAAAGAGGAACTTAGTATACCATTGGCTAATCTTTTTAACATATCACTACAAACTGGCATAGTGCCTGATAAGTGGAAAATGGCAAATGTAATACCTATTTACAAGGCAGGTGACAGGTCCTTGCCTTCGAACTATAGACCAATAAGCCTTACCTCCATAGTGGGAAAATTTATGGAATCAATAATTGCCGAAGCAATTCGTAGCCATCTTGATAGGCACAGATTGATTAATGAATCTCAACACGGCTTTACAAAGTGGACATCGAAATGGTATAAAATACCGACAAGTTGTTAGGTAAGACACATATGCAACAGTTAAGTATCTTTATTTCGAAACGTTTCGCCTACACAGTAGGCTTCTTCAGTCGAGTACAGAAAAGCTGATAGAAGCAGAAGACGTGAAGACGATGTAATCAAGGGTGATGGACTGATTACATCGTCTTCACGTCTTCTGCTTCTATCAACTTTTCTGTACTCGACTGAAGAAGCTTACTGTGTAGGCGAAACATGTCGAAATAAAGATACTTAATTGTTGCATATGTGTCTTACCTAACACGGTTTTACAAAGGGGCGTTCCTGTCTTACGAATTTACTAACTTTTTCACTAAGGTGTTTGAGGAGGTAGATCATGGTAATGAATATGATATTGTGTATATGGACTTCAGTAAGGCTTTCGATAGAGTTCCACACCAGAGGCTATTGAGGAAACTTAAGGCACACGGAATAGGAGGAGAAATTTTTTCCTGGGTAGAGGCATGGCTGACAAATAGGCAGCAGAGAGTTTGAACATCAAAATGGTATACAATACCGACAGGTTGTTAGGTAAGACACATATGCAACAGTTGGACAACTTTATTCCGAAACGTTTCGCCTACACAGTAGGCTTCTTCAGTCGAATACAGAAAGTAGGCAGGAACAGTAGAGATGTGAAGACGATGTAATCAGTCCATCACCCTTGTAGTCGTAGAGGTTGTCAGTCCCTCGGCCTGGAGAAGTTCAGTTCCATAGTCAGGAACTATCTGAAGATCAAGCGACAGTGCGGAGACTTAAATACTGTCGGAAGGAGAGGTGCATAGTAGTAGTAGTAGTAGTAGTAGTAGTAGTAGTAGTAGTAGTAGTAGTAGTAGTAGTAGTAGTAGTGAGAAGGACATGACCTCTCAGTGGCTACATTCTCACTACTACTACTACTACTACTACTACTACTACTACTACTACTACTACTACTACTACTACTACTACTATGCACCTCTCCTTCCGACAGTATTTAAGTCTCCGCACTGTCGCTTGATCTTCAGATAGTTCCTGACTATGGAACTGAACTTCTCCAGGCCGAGGGACTGACAACCTCTACGACTATAAGGGTGATGGACTGATTACATCGTCTTCACATCTCTACTGTTCCTGCCTACTTTCTGTATTCGACTGAAGAAGCCTACTGTGTAGGCGAAACGTTTCGGAATAAAGTTGTCCAACTGTTGCATATGTGTCTTACCTAACAGCAGAGAGTTTGCATAAATGGGGAGAAATCAGAATGGGGGCACGTCACAAGCGGTGTTCCTCAGGGGTCAGTGCTGGGCCCGTTGTTGTTCACAATTTACATAAACGACATAGATGAGGGAATAAATAGCGACATAAGCAAATTTGCTGATTACACCAAAATAGGCAGTCCAATTCATTCTAATGAGGACACTAGAGCACTCCAGGATGATTTGAATAGACTGATGCAATGGTCGGAGAAGTGGCAGATGCAGTTTAATATTGACAAATGCAAAGTTCTAAATGTTGGACAGGTAAATAACCATGCCACATATAAACTAAATAATGTAGATCTTAGTACTACTGATTACGAAAAGGATTTAGGAGTTCTGGTTAGCAATAATCTAAAACCAGGACAACAGTGCATTAGTGTTCGCAATAATGCTAACAGAATTCTTGGCTTCATATCTAGAAGTATAAATAATAGAAGTCCTCAGGTTGTTCTTCAACTCTATATATCCTTGGTTAGGCCTCATTTAGACTATGCTGCTCATTTCTGGTCACCGTATTACAGAATGGATATAAATGCTCTGGAAAACGTACAGAGGAGGATGACAAAGATGATCCCATGTATCAGAAATCTTCCCTATCAGGATAGACTGAGGGCCCTGAATCTGCACTCTCTCGAAAGGCGTAGAATTAGTGGGGATATGATCGAGGTGTATAAATGGAAAACAGGAATAAATAAAGAGGATGTAAATAGCGTGCTGAAAATTTCCAGCCAAGACAGGGCTCGCAACAATGGTTTCAAGTTGGAAAAATTCAGATTCAGGAAGGATATAGGAAAGCACTGGTTTGGTAACAGAGTTGTGGCTGAGTGGAACAAACTCCCGAGTACAGATATTCAGGTTAAAACGTTGTGTAGTTTTAAAAATAGGTTAGATAAATACATGAGTGGGTGGGTGTGAGTTGGACCCCACTAGCTTGTGCTGCTGAGTCTGGTGCCGTGCTCCTTCCTTGAGTGAAGGTGACCAGACTTGGTGGGTCATTGGGCCAATCCGGGGGGTTCTTTGGGCTAAT